TGGAGGGGAAGGGGGGCAGTGATGTTTGGGGTGAGGAAGGCAGCGCTAAACTCTGCGGGTTTTGTGGTATCCCTGTTTTTGTGGTGCCCCCGTTTTTGTGGTGTCCCCACAGAAGGACGATGGTGGCACCAGAGAGGTGGGAAGGGAGGGGGCTGTGCTGAGGTGGGGGTCGCATAAATCCCCCTCCCTCCCTTCCTCCCCCCGCCCCATCTCAGCCCTGTATTTACTGGTGAAGCCGCAGCTTTGTTTTGGCAGCTCTGGGCTGGTAAATATTGGCTTGAACCGAAAACCAGACGCTGCCTGACTCACGGCGTCTTAACAAACACAGGAAGGGGCCCCTGGTGCGTGTGGGGTGCTGCTGGCAGCCCTGGGGACAGGGGGACCCCGCAGGGTGGGGACAGCCCCGGGGTGAGCGGGGCATCCTTGGGCAGGGGGGCTCTGCTGCAGCCTGTGGGGAGATGGGGAATGGAGGGGTGCCAGCATTTGGGGTGCCCCTTCCTCCTCCCCTGCCCTGCACAGGGGGAAAATCAGCCGGGAACATGAGGCTGAAGGGCAGCCCAAGATCCCCACCCCAGCAGCAGGATTGTCCCCCCTGTCCCAGCCCGTCCCCTCCGGGTCACCCCTAAATGTTATAAATGGGGTGCCCCATCCCCAGGGCGGCGTGTGGCGCATCCCCGCCCCGCTGCCCCCTCACCCGCCCTGCCCCAGGGTACAGGATGTTCTCACCCAGCCCAGCTCGGCTCCCCAACCTCTCCTCCCCGCCTCTCCCCCCTTTCCGCCAGCCCTCGGCCTTCACCTCTCCTCCTCTGCGCTGCTTTAACCCTTTTGTTCACCCCAGACATCGCCTTTTCCTCTCCTTCTTTCTCTCCTTCTGGATTTCTTTATAATTTCTGCCCAGATGCACTGAAAATACCTTCTCTACCCATTCCGGGGTGTCCCTGCACCCCCAAATCGCTGCAGCTGCAGTGGGGTGCCCACCCTGTGCCCAGCTTTGCAGGTACCCCCAGAAAAGTCCCCCCACTGCCAGCCTTGCAGAACTCTCCAAGGAAGACCTGTGTGTGTGCATCTGTGTGTCTGTGTGTGTGTGTGTGTGTGTGTGTTTGTGTTTGTTTGCTCCTGCAGCCTCACCCTGGGGGCACGGGGTCTGCCAGTCCCAGCCCTGGCAGCGGGAAATGTGGGTTTTTGGGGGTTTGAGCAGCCTCTGTCCCCCCGGTGGAAGGGGCAGGGAGCAGCCCTGCAGCTCCAGCTCAGGACGGTGATTTCAGCAGGGGGAGACCCCAGGCACAGCCTGGTTAATTCCATGTCCCCACACGCACAGTTTGGGGACTGTTTGGTGCCCCAGTTTGCTGCAGCCTGGGGTGAGGATGGGGCTGATGCTGCAGCAGGGTCAGGGACACTGCTGGGCTGGGTTGGGGGGCACAGGGGGGGTTTGGGGCTGTTTGTGCCTGAGGGGCTGCCCAGAGCCACATCTGGAGCGCACAGAGGGGTCTGGGGGTGCACAGAGGCACCTGGGGCTCCCTGCCTGCTCCTGGCTCTGGGTTTGTGCCCCCCATAAACCTCTACCCCCAGTGGGGCTCAGGACATGCTGGGGGGGCAGCAGCCCCTCTCAGGGTGTCCCTTGGGCACAGCAGGGTCCAGAGGGATGAAACACATCCCTGCAGGGTGTGGGGCACCCCCAGCCAGCACCAGGGGTTTGGGGAATCCCAAATCCTCAGGGAGATGCCCCAATGTGCCCCCACCATCCTCTGCCGGCCTGGGGCACCTCGAGCTGTGCCTGCAGCAGCAAAACCTCCCTGGCTGTGGGGCACAGTGGGGTGCAGACCCCAGGGATGTGGGGGCCTGATCCTGTCACTCAGGGTTTTCCTAAATCTGGGCCAGGTTTTTGCTGTCCCAGGGAGATGGCTTTGGGATGATGCTGGCCAGAAGCCATCCTTCAAGCTCTCTCTGGAAGAAAGGCAACCTTTCTAGCAAAAATGAAAAAAAAAACAAATTCATGGAAAGCTCTGGTTTGCCTCTTCTTGCCAAAACCAATTGTTGATGATTTTTCACGGCTGCTTTGGCTTTGCCTTTGCCTGTGACAGAGGGAACAATGTCACATGTGCTCCTGTTTTCTCTCTTTGATTTTTTCCCCCTGGAGCTGGAAGAGGGGAAGGATTAGACTGAAGGACAGGGCCCTGTCCTAGGCAAATATCAGCCCCAGGGGCTCCAGACCTGGCATGAGGATCTCAGCCTTTCCTCCACCCTCAGGGCTGCAGTTGGGGTCTCTTGAGGGTGTCCCCCTGAGGGCTGAGCACTGCCCAGCTCATGGCAGCAGTGGAGGTTACAAATGGGACATGGGGATGCAGAAATGGCCCTGGGAGGACATCCAGGCACCCACACACCTCCACAACCCCCCTGATGGTGCCCACCAGGGCATGAGTGGGAAAAATCCTTATTGTGAATAATTGGTGCTGCTGGAAGCAGAGCAGTGCAGGGAGGTGTGAGGAGGGGATGTTGGGCTGCGCAGTCTGGGCAGAGCTCAGGGCTGGGTGCTCAGCAGCAGCCAGCTTGGGGGGAAGCGCTCCCTGCAGCTGGGCCCCCCTCAATGGGTGTTTGAGCATTAAATTCCCTGAAATGCTGGCGAGCTGGGCTGGGGGAGCAGAATGAAGGAGGGAGGATTTTGAGGGATACCTCCATAACATCGGTGGGGATTCACTCTTGGGGGGTGCAAAAAGGGTGTTGGGGTGATGCTG